ATATCCCCCCTTATGTATTATACATGGAGATCATATCCCCCCCTTATGTATTATACATGGAGATCATATCCCCCCTTATGTATTATACATGGAGATCATATCCCCCTTATGTATTATACATGGAGATCATATCCCCCTTATATGTATTATACATGGAGATCATATCCCCCCCCTTATGTATTATACATGGAGATCATATCCCCCCTTATGTATTATACATGGAGATCATATCCCCCCTTATGTATTATACATGGAGATCATATCCCCCCTTATTATGTATTATACATGGAGATCATATCCCCCCTTATGTATTATACATACATGGAGATCATATCCCCCTTATGTATTATACATGGAGATCATATCCCCCCTATGTATTATACATGGAGATCATATCCCCCCCCTTATGTATTATACATGGAGATCATATCCCCCCTTATGTATTATACATGGAGATCATATCCCCCCCCTTATGTATTATACATGGAGATCATATCCCCCCTTATGTATTATACATGGAGATCATATCCCCCCTTATTATATTATATTTTGGAGATCATATCCCCCCTCCCCCTTATGTATTATATTTATATGGAGATCATATCCCCCCTTATGTATTATACATGGAGATCATATCCCCCCTTATGTATTATACATGGAGATCATATCCCCCCTTATGTATTATACATGGAGATCATATCCCCCCTTATGTATTATACATGGAGATCATATCCCCCCCTTATGTATTATACATGGAGATCATATCCCCCCTTATGTATTATACATGGAGATCATATCCCCCTTATGTATTATACATGGAGATCATATCCCCCTTATGTATTATACATGGAGATCATATCCCCCCTTATGTATATTATACATGGAGATCATATCCCCCCTTATGTATTATACATGGAGATCATATCCCCCCTTATGTATTATACATGGAGATCATATCCCCCCTTATGTATTATACATGGAGATCATATCCCCCCTTATGTATTATACATGGAGATCATATCCCCCCTTATGTATTATATACATGGAGATCATATCCCCCCTTATGTATTATACATGGAGATCATATCCCCCCTTATGTATTATACATGGAGATCATTATCCCCCCTTATGTATTATACATGGAGATCATATCCCCCCTTATGTATTATACATGGAGATCATATCCCCCCTTATGTATTATACATGGTATTATACATGGAGATCATATCCCCCCTTATGTATTATACATGGAGATCATATCCCCCCTTATGTATTATACATGGAGATCATATCCCCCCTTATGTATTATACATGGAGATCATATCCCCCCTTATGTATTATACATGGAGATCATATATCCCCCCTATGTATTATACATGGAGATCATATCCCCCCTTATGTATTATACATGGAGATCATATCCCCCCCTTATGTATTATACATGGAGATCATATCCCCCTTATGTATTATACATGGAGATCATATCCCCCCCCTTATGTATTATACATGGAGATCATATCCCCCCCTTATGTATGTATTATTATACATGGAGATCATATCCCCCCTTATGTATTATACATGGAGATCATCATATCCCCCCTTATGTATTATACATGGAGATCATATCCCCCCTTTATGTATTATACATGGAGATCATATCCCCCCTTATGTATTATACATGGAGATCATATCCCCCCTTATGTATTATACATGGAGATCATATCCCCCTTATGTATTATACATGGTAGATCATATCCCCCCTTATGTATTATACATGGAGATCATATCCCCCCTTATGTATTTATACATGGAGATCATATCCCCCTTATGTATTATACATGGAGATCATATCCCCCCTTATGTATTATACATGGAGATCATATCCCCCCCCTTATGTATTATACATGGAGATCATATCCCCCCTTATGTATTATACATGGAGATCATATCCCCCCTTATGTATTATACATGGAGATCATATCCCCCCTTATGTATTATACATGTATTATACATGATATCCATATCCCCCTTATGTATTATTGGGAGATTATGTATTATCCCCCATATCCCCCTTATGTATTATACATGGAGATCATATCCCCCCTTATGTATTATACATGGAGATCATATCCCCCCCCTTATGTATTATACATGCGAGGAGATCATATCCCCCTTATGTATTATACATGAAGAGATCATATCCCCCTTATGTATTATACATGGAGATCATATCCCCCTTATGTATTATACATGGAGATCATATCCCCCCATGTATTTATACATGGAGATCATATCCCCCCTTATGTATTATACATGGAGATCATATCCCCCTTATGTATTATACTTGGAGATCATATCCCCCTTATGTATTATACATGGAGATCATATCCCCCCTTATGTATTATACATGGAGATCATATCCCCCCTTATGTATTATAGCACATGGAGATCATAATCCCCCCTTATGTATTATACATGGAGATCATATCCCCCTTATGTATTATACATGGAGATCATATCCCCCTCTTATGTTATTGATACCCCCCCTTATTATACATGTATTACACCCCCTTATGGCACTTATACATGGAGATCATATCCCCCTTTATGTATTATACATGGAGATCATATCCCCCCTTATGTATTATACATGGAGATCATATCCCCCTTTGTATGTATTATACATGGAGATCATTTCCCCCCTCTATGTATTATACATGGAGATCATATCCCCCTTATGTATTATACATGGTGATCATATCCCCCCCTATGTATTATGGTGATTTAGAGATGGTGTTTGGAGCCACAGTGTGGCGGTGGATGGCAGCAGCAATGGGAGGCCATACAGCAACCTATGACAAAATGGAAACCAGCAGGAGCGTGAGGAGACCTGAAAGTGGCACATGGCAGAGTGGGAGCAATGGGAGGCGGTACAGGGGCACTGGGCCCAGCAGCAGCGTGACCAGGCGGTACGGGGGCCCATGGCCGATATGGGGCTTGGTGGCACCTATGGAAGGCCTGTAATCTGCCAGCAACCTATGACAAAATGGACAACCGCAGGAGTGTGAGGAGATTTCAAAGTGGCACATGGCAGAGTGGAAGCAATGGGAGGCCGTACAGGGACCCAGGTCACACTGTGGGACCAGCAGCAGCGTGAACAGGCGGTACGGGGGCCCATGGCCGATTTGACCTCATTCATCCCATAGTCCTGCCGACTCACGAATAGCGTGGCCTCCTCAAAGGGCCTGAGCAAGCGCAGGTACACATGAGCTGCCAATGGCTGACATCTAAGTTACACAGGGAGTACCTTTATCCGCTTTTAACATCAGGAAATCTGTGATGGCCTTTAGCTGTTCAAAGGCGGTCATATGTAGGTGAATTACACCTTGTTGCAATGGCATGAGGCCGTACAGGGACCCAGGTCACACTGTGGGACAGCAGCATCAGGCCCGTGAACAGGCACCCTATGTACGGGGGGGCCCATGGCCGATTTGACCTCATTCATCCCATAGTCCTGCCGACTCAAAAAATTTAACACACCAGCGTGTGAAGAGACCTGAAAGTGGCACATGGCAGCAGAGTGTGGCGATGGAGACAGCAGCAATGGGAGGCCGTACAGGGACCCATGAGAGGCTCTGACTTGGCAGCAGCATGAGGAGGCGGTATTTATCCCATGGCAGATTAGGGGCCTCAGGCAGCAGCTATGTGAGGCCCGTAATCTGCCTGCACCCTATGTCAAAAAAATTAAACACACCAGCAGTGTGAAGAGACCTGAAAGTGGCACATGGCAGCAGAGTGTGGCGATGGAGACAGCAGCAATGGGAGGCCGTACAGGGACCCATGAGAGACTCTGGACTTGGCAGCAGCATGAGGGAGGCGGTATATAGGGGCCCATGGCAGATTAGGGGTCTGGCAGCAGCTATGTGAGGCCCGTAATCTGCCAGCACCCTATGTCAAAAAATTTAACACACCAGCAGTGTGAAGAGACCTGAAAGTGGCACATGGCAGCAGAGTGTGGCGATGGAGACAGCAGCAGCAATGGGAGGCCGTACAGGGACCCATGATGAGAGACTCTGGACTTGGCAGCAGCATGAGGAGGCTCTGCCTGCACCCTATGTCAAAAAATTTAACACACCAGCAGTGTGAAGAGACCTGAAAGTGGCACATGGCAGCAGAGTGTGGCGATGGAGACAGCAGCAATGGGAGGCCGTACAGGGACCCATGAGAGACTCTGGACTTGGCAGCAGCATGAGGAGGCGGTATATAGGGGCCCATGGCAGATTAGGGGCCTGGCAGCAGCTATGTGAGGCCCGTAATCTGCCTGCACCCTATGTCAAAAAATTTAACACACCAGCAGTGTGAAGAGACCTGAAAGTGGCACATGGCAGCAGAGTGTGGCGATGGAGACAGCAGCAATGGGAGGCCGTACAGGGACCCATGAGAGACTCTGGACTTGGCAGCAGCATGAGGAGGCGGTATATAGGGGCCCATGGCAGATTAGGGGCCTGGCAGCAGCAGCTATGTGAGGCCCGTAATCTGCCTGCACCCTATGTCAAAAAATTTAACACACCAGCAGTGTGAAGAGACCTGAAAGTGGCACATGGCAGCAGAGTGTGGCGATGGAGACAGCAGCAATGGGAGGCCGTACAGGGACCCATGAGAGACTCTGGACTTGGCAGCAGCATGAGGAGGCGGTATATAGGGGCCCATGGCAGATTAGGGGCCTGGCAGCAGCTATGTGAGGCCCGTAATCTGCCTGCACCCTATGTCAAAAAATTTAACACACCAGCAGTGTGAAGAGACCTGAAAGTGGCACATGGCAGCAGAGTGTGTGTGGGCGATGGAGACAGCAGCAATGGGAGGCCGTACAGGGGACCCATGAGAGACTCTGGGCACTTGGCAGCAGCATGAGGAGGCGGTATATATATAGGGGCCCATGGCAGATTAGGGGGGGCCTGGCAGCAGCTATGTGTGAGGCCCGTAATCTGCCTGCACCCTATGTCAAAAAATTTAACACACCAGCAGTGTGAAGAGACCTGAAAGTGGCACATGGCAGCAGAGTGTGGGCGATGGAGACAGCAGCAATGGGAGGCCGTACAGGGACCCATGAGAGACTCTGGACTTGGCAGCAGCATGAGGAGGCGGTATATATATAGGGCCCATGGCAGATTAGGGGCCTGGCAGCAGCTATGTGAGGCCCGTAATCTGCCTGCACCCTATGTCAAAAAATTAACACACCAGCAGTGTGTGAAGAGACCTGAAAGTGGCACATGGCAGCAGAGTGTGGCGATGGAGACAGCAGCAATGGGAGGCCGTACAAAAAAGGCGGTATATTGGCAGATTAGGGGCTGGCAGCAGCCAGCAGTGTGAAGACCCTATGTCAAAAAATGAACCAGTGTGCACATGAAAGTGGCAGGCAGCAGAGTGTGATGGAGACAGCAGCAATGGGAGGCCGTACAGGGACCCATGAGAGACTCTGGACTTGGCAGCAGCATGAGGAGGCGGTATATAGGGGCCCATGGCAGATTAGGGCCTGGCAGCAGCTATGTGAGGCCCGTAATCTGCCTGCACCCTATGTCAAAAAATTTAAACACACAGCAGTGTGAAGAGACCTGAAAGTGGCACATGGCAGCAGCAGAGTGTGGCGATGGAGACAGCAGCAATGGGGCAATGGGAGGCCCATACAGGGATGACCCATGTATGAGAGGGACCCATGGCAGACTCTAGACTTGGCAGCAGCATGAGGAGGCGGGTATATAGGGGCCCATGGCAGATTAGGGGCCTGGCAGCAGCTATGTGAGGCCCGTAATCTGCCTGCACCCTATGTCAAAAAATTTAACACACCAGCAGTGTGAAGAGACCTGAAAGTGGCACATGGCAGCAGAGTGTGGCGATGGAGACAGCAGCAATGGGAGGCCGTACAGGGACCCATGAGAGACTCTGGACTTGGCAGCAGCATGAGGAGGCGGTATATAGGGGCCCATGGCAGATTAGGGGCCTGGCAGCAGCTATGTGAGGCCCGTAATCTGCCTGCACCCTATGTCAAAAAATTTAAACACACCAGCAGTGTGAAGAGACCTGAAAGTGGCACATGGCAGCAGAGTGTGGCGATGGAGACAGCAGCAATGGGAGGCCGTACAGGGACCCATGAGGGCCCAGACTCTGGACTTGGCAGCAGCAGAGGAGGCGGCGGTATAGCATGAGGAGGCGGTATATAGTGGCCCATGGCAGGCCCATGGCAGATTAGGGGCCTGGCAGCAGCTATGTGAGGCCCGTATCTGCCTGCACCCTATGTCAAAAAATTTAACACACAGATTAGGGGCCTGGCAGCAGCAGTGTGAAGAGACCTGAAAGTGGCACATGGCAGCAGAGTGTGGCGATGGAGACAGCAGCAATGGGAGGCCGTACAGGGACCCATGAGAGACTCTGGACTTGGCAGCAGCATGAGGAGGCGGTATATAGGGGCCCATGGCAGATTAGGGGCCTGGCAGCAGCTATGTGAGGCCCGTAATCTGCCTGCACCCTATGTCAAAAAATTTAACACACCAGCAGTGTGAAGAGACCTGAAAGTGGCACATGGCAGCAGAGTGTGGCGATGGAGACAGCAGCAATGGGAGGCCGTACAGGGACCCATGAGAGACTCTGGACTTGGCAGCAGCATGAGGAGGCGGTATATAGGGGCCCATGGCAGATTAGGGGCCTGGCAGCAGCTATGTGAGGCCCGTAATCTGCCTGCACCCTATGTCAAAAAATTTAACACACCAGTGTGAAGAGACCTGAAAGTGGCACATGGCAGCAGAGTGTGGCGATGGAGACAGACAGCAGCAATGGGAGGCCGTACAGGGACCCATGACAGACTCTGGACTTGGCAGCAGCAGCATGAGGAGGCGGTATATAGGGGCCCATGGCAGATTAGGGGCCTGGCAGCATGTGAGGCCCGTAATCTGCCTGCACCCTATGTCAAAAAATTTAACACACCAGCAGTGTGAAGAGACCTGAAAGTGGCACATGGCAGCAGAGTGTGGCGATGGAGACAGCAGCAATGGGAGGCCGTACAGGGACCCATGACAGAGACTCTGACTTGGCAGCAGCATGAGGAGGCGGGACCCATATATAGGGGCCCATGGCCCATGGCAGATTAGGGGGCCTGGCAGCAGCTATGTGAGGCCCGTAATCTGCCTGCACCCTATGTCAAAAAATTTAAACACACCAGCAGTGTGAAGAGACCTGAAAGTGGCACATGGCAGCAGAGTGTGGCGATGGAGACAGCAGCAATGGGAGGCCGTACAGGGACCCATGACAGACTCTGGACTTGGCAGCAGCATGAGGAGGCGGTATATAGGGGCCCATGGCAGATTAGGGGCCTGGCAGCAGCTATGTGAGGCCCGTAATCTGCCTGCACCCTATGTCAAAAAATTTAACACACCAGCAGTGTGTGAAGAGACCTGAAAGTGGCACATGGCAGCAGAGTGTGGCGATGGAGACAGCAGCAATGGGAGGCCGTACAGGGACCCATGAGAGACTCTGGACTTGGCAGCAGCATGAGGAGGCGGTATATAGGGGCCCATGGCAGATTAGGGGCCTGGCAGCAGCTATGTGAGGCCCGTAATCTGCCTGCACCCTATGTCAAAAAATTTAACACACCAGCAGTGTGAAGAGACCTGAAAGTGGCACATGGCAGCAGAGTGTGGCGATGGAGACAGCAGCAATGGGAGGCCGTACAGGGACCCATGACAGACTCTGGACTTGGCAGCAGCAGCATGAGGAGGCGGGGGCCTATATAGGGGCCCATGGCAGATTAGGGGCCTGGCAGCAGCTATGTGAGGCCCGTAATCTGCCTGCACACCCTATGTCAAAAAATTTAACACACAGCAGCAGTGTGAAGAGACCTGAAAGTGGCACATGGCAGCAGAGTGTGGCGATGGAGACAGCAGCAATGGGAGGCCGTACAGGGACCCATGAGAGACTCTGGACTTGGCAGCAGCATGAGGAGGCGGTATATAGGGGCCCATGGCAGATTAGGGGCCTGGCAGCAGCTATGTGAGGCCCGTAATCTGCCTGCACCCTATGTCAAAAAATTTAACACACCAGCAGTGTGAAGAGACCTGAAAGTGGCACATGGCAGCAGAGTGTGGCGATGGAGACAGCAGCAATGGGAGGGAGGTACAGGGACCCATGAGAGACTCTGACTTGGCAGCAGCATGAGGAGGCGGTATATAGGGGCCATGGCAGAGATTAGGGGCCTGGCAGCAGCTATGTGAGGCCCGTAATCTGCCTGCACCCTATGTCAAAAAATTTAACACACCAGCAGTGTGAAGAGACCTGAAAGTGGCACATGGCAGCAGAGTGTGTGGCGATGGAGACAGCAGCAATGGGAGGCCGTACAGGGACCCATGAGAGACTCTGGACTTGGCAGCAGCATGAGGAGGCGGTATATAGGGGGGCCATGGCAGATTAGGGGCCTGGCAGCAGCTATGTGAGGCCCGTAATCTGCCTGCACCCTATGTCAAAAAATTTAACACACACAGCAGTGTGAAGAGACCTGAAAGTGGCACATGGCAGCAGAGTGTGGCGAGTGGGAGGCCGTACAGGGACCCATGAGAGACTCTGGAGGCAGCAGCATGGGAGGTATATAGGGGCCCATGGCAGATTAGGGGCAGGGCACCAGCATGAGAGACCCTCTGGCACCCTGGCACAGCAGCAGTGAGGGCAGGAGTGTGGCGATGGAGACAGCAGCAATGGGAGGCCGTAGGGACCCATGAGAGACTCTGGACTGGCAGCAGCATGAGGAGGCGGTATATAGGGGCCCATGGCAGATGGGGCAGCAGCAGCTATGTGAGGCCCGTAATCTGCCTGCACCCTATGTCAAAAAATTTAACACACACCAGCAGTGTGAAGAGACCTGAAAGTGGCACATGGCAGCAGAGTGTGGCGATGGAGACAGCAGCAATGGGAGGCCGTACAGGGACCCATGAGAGACTCTGGACTTGGCAGCAGCATGAGGAGGCAGCATGGGGGGAGGAGGGGCCCATGGCAGATTAGGGGCCTGGCAGCAGCAGCTATGTGAGGCCCCATGCAGATTAGGGGCCTAAGCTATGCCCGTAATCTGCCTGCACCCTATGTGCAAAAAATTTAACACACCAGCAGTGTGAAGAGACCTGAAAGTGGCACATGGCAGCAGAGTGTGGCGATGGAGACAGCAGCAATGGGAGGCCGTACAGGGACCCATGAGAGACTCTGGACTTGGCAGCAGCATGAGGAGGCGGTATATAGGGGCCCATGGCAGATTAGGGGCCTGGCAGCAGCTATGTGAGGCCGTAATCTGCCTGCACCCTATGTCAAAAAATTTAACACACCAGCAGTGTGAAGAGACCTGAAAGTGGCACATGGCAGCAGAGTGTGGCGATGGAGACAGCAGCAATGGGAGGCCGTACAGGGACCCATGAGAGACTCTGGACTTGGCAGCAGCATGAGGAGGGTATATAGGGGGGGGGCAGATTAGGGGCCTGGCAGCAGCTATGTGAGGCCCGTAATCTGCCTGCACCCTATGTCAAAAAATTTAAACACACCAGCAGTGTGAAGAGACCTGAAAGTGGCACATGGCAGCAGAGTGTGGCGATGGAGACAGCAGCAATGGGAGGCCGTACAGGGACCCATGAGAGACTCTGGACCTGGCAGCAGCAGAGGAGGCGGTATATAGGGGCCTATGGCAGATTAGGGGCCTGGCAGCAGCAGCTATAGGAGGCCCGTAATCTGCCAGCACCCTATGTCAAAAAATTAAACACACCAGCAGTGTGAGGAGACCTGAAAGTGGCACATGTTTGAGGCATGATTCATGGCGGATTTAGTCAGTTGTGTCAGGAACTGGTGGTTTGAAATCCAGACTAATCCACGCCTGATTCATTTTCACAAACGTGAGTCTCTCCACACTTTGGGTGGACAGTCGTGTCCTCCGCGGAGTTACAATACCTCCTGCCGCACTAAACACGCGCTCCGATGCGCTGCCACGCTACTGGCCGGGCATGACAGCCTTTCAAGGGCAAATTCAGCTAGTTGGGGCAAAGGTCAAGTTTCGTTGCCCAGTAGTCAAGGGGATTGTCTACCTCGGTTGGCAGGGTGCTGTCCAAGTAGGCCCAAGCCTGTTGTTTGAGCTCCTGCTCCAGGTCCACCTGATGCTGCTGCTGCTGCTGCGCTGGTTTAGTAGTTTCCTCACTGCGCTGGTGAAGAAAAGAAAGCTACTCATCATCGACTGAGCAGACTGAGGCAGCAGCTGCTGCTGGTGGAGCTGCCACTGCTCCTACCACCCCACCCCTCCCCTGCTGCCATGCCAGCGGAACGCGAGCGCACAGGGCCCACAGTGTCTGAGGATGGACGTTGGCGCACAAAGGCAGAGACCAACTGACTACATAGGTGGTTTTTATAGTACGTAATTTTTTGGCCTCCCTCTCAGCAGGTGTGAAAAAGGCCACCATTTTGGACCGGTAGCGAGGGTCCAACAAGGTGGACAGCCAAAAGTCATCCCTTGTCTGATGGTTATTATTCGGCTGTCGCTACGCAAGCAACCGAGCATGCTATGGGCCATTTGTGCCAAGGAATGCGAGGGACTCCCTGCCTCCATCTCCACAGCATACTGCCACGGTGCGTCTGGGTCCTCTGTCTGTCTCCTCCTCCTCCTCCTCCTCCAGATGCTCCTGCTCCTCCACTCCTGTCCGCTGAGTGGAAAAAAAAACCCCATTTCACTCAATAATTCCTGAGCACAAATGTCCTCCTCTACCTCCTCCTCTTCTTCCTGTCCTGCCCCCACAGGGGTCATGTGGCGTTGAGATCTGTGCGCCACGTCTACCGCACCCTGACCAGCCATTGTTAACAGCATTTGTTCCAGGACGTGCAACAGAGGAATGACGTCGTTCATCCCATAGTCCTGCCGACTCACGAATAGCGTGGCCTCCTCAAAGGGCCTGAGCAAGCGGCAGGTGTCACGCATGAGCTGCCAATGGCTGACATCTAAGTTACACAGGGGAGTACCTTTATCCGCTTGTAACATCAGGAAATCGGTGATGGCCTTTCGCTGCTCGTAAAGGCGGTCTAACATGTGTAGGGTTGAATTCCACCTTGTTGCAACGTCGCAGATCAGGCGATGCTGTGGAATTCCGTTCTGCCGCTGCAGCTCAATGAGGGTGTTCTTTGCGGTGTAGGAATGGCTGAAATGCATGCACAGTTTACGTGACATTTTAAGGATGTCTTGCAGTGGGATGGTGGATTTTAGGAACCGCTTGACAACCAGATTGAACACGTGAGCCATGCATGGCGCATGGCACAACCTTCCTTGACGCAGAGCAGACACCATGTTCTTTCCGTTGTCAGTCAACATGGTTCCGATTTTTAGTTTGCGCGGAGACAGCCATCTGTCGATTTCTCTGTTCATTACACTCAGCAGTTCCTCCCCTGTGTGACTACGTTCGCCAAGGCATAGGCATACCAGGCAGCACAGCGTGACACCGTTGCGCCCTGCACATGTGATATGCCGGTCGGGTAATGGGACTTGGCACGGGGGTGGCGGCTGGCTGGACACGGCGGAAAAAAGAGGTGGTAGAGGCGGACATGCTTGCTGGACCAAGGACGTGCAAACGTGGAGGCAAAAGCGTCGTGACCTGTCCAAGTTG